AAGTTTCACAAAAGCTCGTCAGGGGAACGCACGGGAAGGGCAATGATAATAGGCGTGGGAGATCTTAGTCCTTTTACGAGGTCACGTGGCTGGCAAAAGCACCCAGGAGTGACGCACAGATAGAAAGCAGTCGTCCCAGGACACCTGACTCTAGTGTTGCACGGGGGAACCAGATGCCCGTGGAGCCACACTGTGGTCACCTGCCTCTCAGAATATCTCTCGTCCCACAGATTGCCACTAGTACCTATAGGTCTATAAGAAGCACTTACAGGGGCCGGGCGCGGTGGTTCAAGCCTGTAATCCCAGCACTTTGGGAGGCGGAGGCGGGTGGATCACGAGGTTAAGAGATCGAGACCATCCCGGTCAACATGGTGAAACCCCGTCTCTACTAAAAATACAAAAAATTAGCTGGGCACGGTGGCGCGTGCCTGTAATCCCAGCTACTCAGGAGGCTGAGGCAGGAGAATTGCCTGAATCCAGGAGGCGGAGATGGCGGTGAGCCGAGATCGCGCCATTGCACTCCAGCCTGGGTAACAAGAGCGAAACTCCGTCTCAAAAAAAAAAAAAAAAAAAGAAAACTTCAAGTCTCGTTTCCTTCCCATGGGAACAGAGAGCAGGGGTAGAGGAGTTAGAAACTAAATGGCTGTCTCAGATGTGTCCGCTGTGGAGTTGATGGCAGCAATGAAGATTTGGAGCAGAAGAGGGAGGTGATCTTCCCCAGGCCTCATGAGGCTCCTGTGGCTGAGCACAGACAATAGACTTGAGTTTAAGGGAGGTGGTAGCAATACAACAGAGGGAAGAGGAGACTACTGTAATAGTCCAAGTGAGTGTAGGTGAGGTGGGCCAGAGAAGAGTATGCCCACAGTGTGGTAGAAATGGTTGAATTTTGGCTTGTAGGTCGGTTCTGATTTTCTGGTATTGGGACTAAGAGAGAAGAAGGGATGACTCTTGCCTTTTCCAAATTAAAAAAAAGAAAGGATGACTCAAGGCTTTTTGGATTTATTTTACTTCTTTTTTTTTTTTTTGTGAGACGGAGTTTCGCTCTTGTTACCCAGGCTGGAGTGCAATGGCACGATATCGGCTCACCGCAACCTCCGCCTCCTGGGTTCAAGCAATTCTCCTGCCTCAGCCTCCTGAGTAGCTGAGACTACAGGTGCGCACCACCATGCCCAGCTAATTTTCGTATTTTTAGTAGAGACGGGGTTTCACATTGTTGACCATGATGGTCTCGATCTCTTGACCTCGTGATCCACCTGCCTCGGCCTCCCAAAGTGCTGGGATTATAGGCGTGAGCCATCGCACCCGGCCTAAGTTTTGTATTTTTTTTTTAGTAGAGACAGGGTTTTACCATGTTGACCAGGGTGGTCTCGATCTCTTGACCTCGTGATACACCCGCCTCGGCCTCCCAAAGTGCTGGGATTACAGGCGTGAGCCACCGCGCCCGGCGCTCTGCTGGCAACTTTCAGAGGACTGCCTTTTTTGAGGACATCGTTAATCTCAAGTGATGCTTCTGGTGAAGTTTTCTTTAGCTTCCACCACATACCATGAACTACCTGTTAACTGGCTTGTGCGATGATAAGGATTTGTTTAAGTACCTTTCATCTTGTAAGTTTTATTACCTGTGGAGTAGTTTGGAAAAATAATAGGACTCTGTCAGCTTAAAAGGGTAAATCACATTTGTAAGTATTCAAATTGCATTTGCCTCCATGATGTGCCCCTCAGACTTCCATTATTATTTATGATTGTTCTTGTTGCATGCATTCTTACCCACATTAATAGGTAATTTTACTGTTAAACCCAGACATGTAATTTAACACATAGCTTCTTTAGAATGGTTTTCTGAAGTGTACGGGATTTTCATATAACTGATTAATATTTTCGAAAATATAAAAATTTAAAATATGTTATTAGTGCTGAATATTACTAAGTTTTTCAAAGACTTTTTTTAAAATAGTAAGTGTAAACAAAACTACAGGCCAATATCCCTGATGAACATACATGTAAAAATTCTAAAAAAAAAAAAACCACACACACACACACACAAGTTAACTGATGAATTCATCAATAACACATCAGGGCCGGGCGCGGTGGCTCACGCCTGTAATCCCAGCACTTTGGGAGGCCGAGACGGGTGGATCACAAAGTCAAGAGATCGAGACCATCCTGGTCAACATGGTGAAACCCCGTCTCTACTAAAAATACAAAAAATTAGCTGGGCATGGTGGCGCGTGCCTGTAATCCCAGCTACTCAGGAGGCTGAGGCAGGAGAATTGCCTGAGCCCAGGAGGCGGAGGTTGCCTTTAGCCAAGATCGCGCCATTGCACTCCAGCCTGGGTAACAAGCGCGAAACTGTCTCAAAAAAAAAAAAAAAGGCATACAAATTGAAAACATTTTTTAATAGCCTCTCTTTGAAAAACTCAAGTTTTATAAACATTCATTAAAGTTGCAGGATACAAAGTCATACAAAACTCTGTATGTTTCATACATCAATAATGAAATGCCTAAAAAATCAGGAGGGCAATCTCATTTACAATAGCTACGAAAATAATAAACTAGGAATAAATTTAACCAATGAGGTTAAAAAATCACTGCAAACAAAACTACAAAACACTGACAAAAGAACGAGAAAAGGATACAAAGACATTCCATGCTCATGAATTGGAAAAATTAATGTTCCTAATCTATCTGTACTACACAAGGAAGTCTACAGATTGAATGCAATCTCGATCAAATTTTAATGTCATTTTCCACAAAACTAGAAGAAAAAGTCTAAAATTTCTATGGAACCCAGAGACCCTGAATAGCCAATGTAGTCATGAACAAAAAGAACGAATATGACCAGGTACGGGGTTCTCACCTGTAATCCCAGCACTTTGGGAAGCTGAGGCTGGTGGATCATGAGGTCAGGAGTTTGAGAACAGCCTGGCCAAGATGGTAAAACCCCATCTCTTAAAAAAAAAAATTCTTGGCCAGGTGTGGTGGCTCACGCCTGTAATCTTAGCCCTTTGGGAGGCCAAGGTGGGTGGATCACCTGAGGTCAGAAGTTCAAGACCAGCCTGGCCAACATGGTGAAGCCCCATCTTTAAAAAAAAATAAAATAATTCTTTTTTTTTAAAAAAAGAACAAACATGGAGACATCACACTGATTTTAAAATATATTACAAAGCCACAGTAACCCAACAGCATGGTATTGATATGAAAACACATACATAGCCCAGCGGAACCCAGAGAAAAATCCATCTTTACAAATGAATGATTTTGAACACAGCCATCAAGAATGAACATTGTGGAATAAATGACGCTTAACCTCTCCTAGGTTATATTGGTATAAGTAAATGCTGTTATTATAAATATTTCAGAAATTACACGAAATTTGTAGAAAGCTTTCAGTGTCCTTCTTGTCCATGATCAATGCTGGTATAATGTTGTGTCTATGTTAAAAATACTGTAGGTGAAAGAAATAACCACATTTTCCTGTCAAATGAACTCTCATCAGATCTCTGACTTCAGCCATTTAAAGCCTTCATCATTCAGTTATTGTTTTACCCTGATGCTTTCCAGAAAGTTCTTGCAATCAGCTACAGGCCAGAATGCTTCATGATGGCTTTGCTTACATAACTCTGAGGATATACCACTGACCTGAGTAAGGACTCCCAGAATTCTAGTGGATAATCTGAGCACCTAATGGATTCATGAAATGACTAACACAAGATCAATTCTAACAAGAATGAATGACATGGATGTAATGATCTGACCAAATAGAATTATGGTTTTGTTTGGAACATTAGTGGTTCCTTAGTGTTCTATTTTCCAGATATAAGTAAACCCTTTCCATTCTCTTATTTATACTCATGACATTTGGTAGATTATACTTTTCTAAACAGAAATGAAACATTTAATTTTCCTTCTTGACTGATCCCTCCAAAATTTGGAATATATATTTTTTGAGAAAGGGTTTTGCTCTGTCACCCAGGCTGGAGTGCAGTGGCACCATCTTGGCTCACTCCCTTGTTCAAACAATTTTCCTGCCTCAGCCTCCAGGTAGCTGGGATTACAGGCACGCACCACCATGCCCAGCTAATTTTTTGTATTTTTAGTAGAGACGGGGTTTCACCATGTTGATCAGGATGGTCTCGATCTCTTGACCTCGTGATCCACCCGCCTCGGCCTCCCAAAGTGCTGGGATTACAGGCTTGAGCCACCACGCCCGGCCCGGTGGCCGGTTTTAATGAACTGAGGTTGAGTTTATGGAGCCAATGCTTAGAAATGTCTCTTGGAAAACTGGCCTGGTACCTGGCTTACAGGGTTAGCAGACTTACAGATAGGTTAGGAAGGGCATTTTCTGGCAGGCGGTGATGTGCTTTAGCTCTGAGTTCCCACCCATATCTTACCGTGAACTGTAGTAATCCCCACATGTCAAAGGCGGGACCAGGTGGAGATAATTGAATCGCAGGGATGGTTTCCTCCATATTGTTCTCGTGATATTGAGTTCTCACAAGATCTTGTGGTTTTATATGGAGCGTTATCCTTTGCTCAGCACACATTCTGTCTCCTGCTGCCCTGTGAAGGGATGACTTTTGCCGTGATTGTCCTTTTCCTGAGGCCTCTCTACTCATTGGAATTGTGAGGCAATTAAGCCTCTTTCCATTTAAAAAAAAAATAGTGAACTATGAGTGGACTCAGAGTGACATTGGATGTTGTGTGTCCATTTGGTTTTGTGGCTTAGGGGAACAGACGTAAGAATATCTCTCAATATTTCGGGGATCCCTAGAGACTTCACAGGAAATGGATGAGGGTCCTTTAAGAGAAGCGAAGCTACGCCCTCCCATCAGAGTCTCAGGGCATAATTTCCCTGCGACCCTCGCAGTATCATTTAGCCATTGTCGAGCGCGCAGTGGAATTAGCAGTCGTCTTGGCCAAGTGCACATGGGAACTACATTGCCCAGAAACCTCTGCGCCCCGCGGCGGCGGCAATGGGCGTTTCCCTGCGGCCTGACGGTCTCTGGGCGGGACTTCCGGCATCTTCCTCGCGGCAGACATATTGTCGGCTCTCCAGTGGGATCATCTGAGCAAAAGCTCGGGGTTGCTGGACGGTTCCGGGGTGACGGAAGCGGGAGGGTGCGGGAAGAGACGCTGTTCGTCCTGCAAAGTGGCTCGCCAGCGGAGACCCCCGCCTCCGCCCCCGGGGTCGCACCATCGGGGTGCCAGGGTTCCGCGACTTGGGTGTACATCGCGGCTTGGTGCGGTCTATGAACTGTGATGGCGACGGCCGCGGTGTTGGGCCTGGCGCAGGTGGGTGCTGCTTTCCCCAGACTGCCCGGCGGGAATCCTGAAGTCCTGAATGAGGAGCGCCTGCCTGAGCCCCTGCAGCGCAGGTCCCAGTGTTCGGGGCAGCGGGGCGCTGGTGGGTGGGGCCCGTTCCTAAAACCGGCGTGTAAGGTTGGAGCGAGCGTGACGGGCAGAGGGGCTGGGCAGCCTGAGCTTAGGCTTGGAGCTGGACTGAGCCCGGAGCGGTTGCGAGCGTGTGTGAGCGGTAGTCACGCCTGCAGTGTCGCGGGGGCAAGTTGTACCTTCATTCTGAGGACGATAGGAGCCATGGCGAGGGTCCTTTCACAAAAATGTTGAAATTGTATTTTTAAAAAAAAAAAAAAAGGGGGTAGAGGGAAGGAATCTGATAAAGCATTTTAAAGTATTCCGGCGTTCGCTGGGGAGGAAACAGACTAGAGTGAGGTAGAAACGGTGAGGATAGAGGCAGGGAGACTTTTGAGGAGACCCCTGCAACAAACTCCACGAGTGTTGCCTGATGGCTGGGCCCAAGCAGTGGCAGGAGGGGTTGGGGTGGGGAAGTCATGAGATTCTGGATGGATTTTTAAAGATGGAACCAACAGGGTGTCCTGCTGCATCAGATGTGGTCGCGACTAAATGTAGGGAGGGAAGGGTTCTCCAGGTTTTTTGGTTTTTTTTTTTTTAATTGCCAGTTTGTTTGCCTTCTTGAACGTGTGAAAGAATGGAAATTAGTAAGTCAGAGCAGGGAGCACCTTTCAGGGGATCAGCAATTGGAATGTGGACTTGGTGAATCTAAGGTGTTCTGCATTGAAGGTTCTCATGGGTAGCTGAACATGCAGGTCAGGAGTTCGAGAGAGGGAGTGGTGCTAGAGACGTTCAATGCTTGAGGCATAAGGTCAAAGCCTGTAGATCAGATTTAGAGGGTGGGATATTAAGGCTGTTATTTTATATGGTCTCTGAAGTGAGAGGTAGGCTTAGGGTTGCAGACCAGGGAAGAAGGTGTGGACACTTAAGATTCCTTCCAGAAAGGAGGGGTCCTGGCATGTAAAAGTATTCTGTAGGGTGTCAGCAAGAGGAGAGGGCTGTAGAGCATAAGTAGCGTGGCATGCATTGGAGACCAAGGCCTGAGATACAGTAGATTTGCCATCCTACAGGCTCAGCACGCCCTCATGGGCACTGCCTGTGAAACAGTACCATCTCCAACCCGTGCACTGGTGCCTCAGTTACCCAAACAGGTAAGGAAAAATGAACATCTCCTTTTTTTTTTTTTTTTTTGAGACGGAGTTTCGATGTTGTTACCCAGACTGGAGTGCAATGGCATAATCTCGGCTCACCGCACCCTCCGCCTCCTGGGTTCAAGCAATTCTCCTGCCTCAGCCTCCTGAGTAGCTGGGACTACAGGTGTGCACCACCATGCCCAGCTAATTTTTGTATTTTTAGTAGAGACGGGGTTTCACCATGTTGACCAGGATGGTCTCAATCTCTTGACCTCGTGATCCACCTGCCTCAGCCTCCCAAAGTGCTGGGATTACAGGCGTGAGCCACTGCGCCCAGCCAATGATGAACATCTCTGATGAAGGATCATGCAGCTCCCCTTCAGAGGAATATGTATCAGGTAGGCTGGTTTAGGGCAAGGGCTAGTGTATACTTTACAAGTACACAGAAGTAGGGAACTAAAAAATGTATATATAAGTTAAATTTATGCCAGCACTTAATGATTGGTCAGAATATAAATTTGCTTAAAGTATTTTATTACAATGCGAAATCTTACCAGATTTTCTGAAAAGCTTTTAAAGCAAGCAAAACAAATCTAATTTTTCAAAAACTCGTCAGTTCCTTGGCATGAATAGTAGTAGCTGTTTTAGAGGCACTTGACATGTAAGAGAAGACTGATAGAAACAATAGCTCTATGAGGTGGGTGCCGTTGTTATTCCCACTTGTAAGATGAGGACACTGAGACACCGGTCTTTATTTATGTCCACACAGCTGGCAGGAGCCAGCACTGAGGTCTGAGTATCTGAAGTTAGAGAGGTAACCCAAAATCACCTCTGCCAAAGGACAGGGTTGGCAGGGGTTAGGGGAACAGTTCAGTCCATGAGATCCCACTGTGGGAAGCTGCCACTCCCAGCCTCCCTCTTATTGTGAGGTTGCCATGGTGGCAGAAGCTTGTGATTCCTACCTAGATGAGTCCAGATTGTCTCATGCCCTCACTTAGCCCAACACACCCCCATTGTCTCAGCAACTCAGTATGGAGAATTAGAGTGTTCTGGGACTCTTCAGTGTCCCTTCCACCTACCGTTTGGGGAGGTCCTGCAGTCACTCAAAGCTCTGTGTTGTAAATTCTGCTTTGGAATTATGTGGAAGGGTTTCCATTTCTGGCAAGCAGTGGGATGGAGTGTGGAGCATTACCTAGGCACAGGAACCAGCACGCGCAAATACTTCACTTGAGGCTAAACTAGGAGTGTTTGGGGAACCTCAGGTCTCCATTATGTCTGGTGGGATCAGACAGCAGGAACAGGATTCAGCCCAGGAACAGTAGGCAGCCTGAGGATCTGGATGTCTATGCTGAGAGAGGTAGGAGCCACTGCAGGTTTGGAGCTAGGAGGGAATGATCTGACTTTGGTCTTAACCAGCTTTGTCTTCACTGTCCAGTGAGGAAAAGACTGTGGGAGTGAGGATGAGGGAAGGAGTACCACTGAGGAGCTTAATGCAACAGTTTAGGTTGGGCCAGGGCAGTGGCTATAGAGGTGGGAGATGTGGATGGATCCTGAATCATTTTCCTTAAAGAGGGACCAACCAGATTTTCGAGGATGAGATAGAAAAGGGGAGGGGTGAAGGATGACCCTGTATTTTTTTATTCAAAGATACCAGGATGCCATCAACTGAGGTGACAAAGTTGGTGGTAGGAGTACCTTTCAGAGGTTATATCACGAGTGTAGTTTGGCTGTGAGGAATCTGCCATGTTCCAAAGACACTTGAGTAGAGCTGTCAAGTAGACAGCTGGACACAGAGATCTGAAGTTCAGTGAAGGGATTCAGGTTGGAGCTATCCACAGGGTGGCAGCTGGCATCTGGATCAGGATAGAGTTTTGCTTCCAGTTTAGAGGGAGAATCTTTAGGTCATGGTGGCAGTGCCATCAGCGAGCGCAATGTAAGGGCAGGCACAGCAGGGTGGGGGTAGGGGCCATGTTATAGGCTAGAAGAAGGAGTGTCCTTGGGTGGAAGGGGAGTAATAGGGTCAGGCAGGTGGCGAAGTGTTTCAGGGAGAGAGTGGATGTGAGGTGAAGTACTGTAGTAATAGAAGTGAGGTGGCAGTGAGGCCAGAGCCAGTGCTTATTCAGCTCTTTATGTGTCCTCAGGCTTCTGTGGTGACCCCTGTGGAGTTTCAAGCTAGTGAATTAGCCCAGGGACAGATTGGGTCAGTAGGCAGAATCACTGTGCTTGGGGTAGGTGCCCGGCGGGTGTGGGTTTTGAATGAGTTAAATGTTGAGCAGAAGCCGGAGACTGAACTCAATAGTACAACAGCAAAGGAGAAAAATGTTGCATTTATCTGAGATCTGCATGTGGTTCTCGATTGCTGAACTGACCCATGAAATAGAGCCAGGAGGGTAGGATTTAATACCTGGATTGAGGTGAAACCGTGGCAGTGGGGCCATTGACCAGGACCAGATGTGGTCCTGAATGCATTATCCAAGCATTCTCTGGATGCTGTATGTAGATTTGCATGTGGGGAAGCCAGGGAGGTACCTATGTAGTGGGTGTCCATAGATGTGAAGTAGGTATGGACAAAAGGGTGATGTGCATATGTAGATGGAGTGTGAATTCATGGGCCCAGAGCTTTGCTACTGAAGGTTTCTGAGAGAATGCTGAGCTCAGGTATGTATATGAGGCATAATCAGTTGTTCCCAGGGGAGCAGGCTAATAGGAGAAGCCAGGCCGTGGTGTTTTATCTGTCAACTTGTCTGTTCTAGGCTGGACAAAAGGATGACTGGAATCTGAGGAGAGAACAGACATCAATCACATCAGGGCCTGTTGTCTCATTACAGTTAGATGTGACAAGGAATCCTGGGGAGAGAGGCTGCCCTTAAGCTCAGTTGTCCAGCACCTCACACAGTACTAGGTGACCTTTGAGGACTTACTTCTGTGCTTCTCTTAGGAGGAATGGGAGCTGCTTGATGAGGCTCAGAGACTCTTCTATGATGAAATAATCGTTTCTGTGCTTTGCATTTATATTCTCCCTAGGTAAGGCCCCAGTATCCCCTTTTTTTTTTGAGACACAGTTTCGCTGTTCTTACCCAGCCTGGAGTGCAATGGCGCGATCTTGGCTCACCGCAGCCTCCGCCTTCTGGGTTCAAGCAATTCTCCTGCCTCAGCCTCCTGAGTAGCTGGGATTACAGGCATGCGCCACCGTGCCCAGCTAATTTTTGTATTTTTAGTAGAGATGGGGTTTCACCTTGTTGACCAGGATGGTCTCGATCTCTTGACCTTGTGATCCACCCGACTCGGCCTCCCAGAGTGCTAGAATTATAGGCGTGAGCCACCGCGCCTGGCCCAGTATCCCATTTTTGTGGGCTTGGCTCTGCTCTGCTCTTTTTGCCCTGGAGATTGCTCTTGCGTGTACTATGGAAAGGCAAGAGCAAGAGGGCAGAAAGGAAGAGCATGGGCATTGCTGTCTTCTCTGATTCCCTCACATAGGTCCTCTGGTGCCAAGGCTCAGCTAGATGCATTGCCTCCTCTGTTCCCTGTGTTCCTCAACTCCTACTGCCCCGAAGCCTTGCCAGGAATGGTTTAGGGTTCAGGCGTCCTAAGGTAAACCACTGAATCCTGCCCGGCCTCTCCCTGGCCAGGTGACTGTCCATGTTCATGAAACTTCTGGACTCCGGACTTCACCCCCTTCCTCTAATTACAATATCCTTGAGTCTGTTTGTATGTCATCAGTTTCAGTCATCATGGTCACTACTTGTGGGCCCACTGGACTGTTCCTGTAGGACAGTTTTCTGAGGGTCATTTTGTAGTATTTGTTTAGTTGTGATTTTGCATGGGATTCATCTTTCCCCTGTCTGTGCTTTGTATCTTCCAGATCCTCTGTGGTTGCTGAACTGTAACAAGAGAGAGAACTCCGAGTACCTAACTCAAGAGGGCATGACTCTAGTCACAGCAGGAGGGGCTTGGGCAGGCCCTGGTGAGTGGGAGCTGAGGCTGAGGGAGGGCGTAACCTCAGGGCTGGGTTCCTACAGTTACAGAAACCTATGTTGTGCCCATCACTGGTGCCAAGGCCAGAGGCCCTAACTTACTTCTACCTTTTTTTCCCCGTTCTGTACACTCTTGTCATTTCTAATCTGACTTCCCACCCAGGGCTGTTCTCTCCCACTCTCTACCAGAGGGGCTCTAGTAGAGCAATAGGACTCTCTTCAGTGCTGTCCAATATTGGACTACACTTAAACACTGATGTGTCATAAGATGCGTACATATCCTCAAATAGTCCCTGAACACATTACTTACTTGTAATCACATTTTCCTGGGCCTGGACACACATTTCTGCATAGCAGTCTCCTGTCCCCCCCAGTCAGCCAAGTCCCAGCTGAAAGTCACTGCAGAGGATTAAGTTGGAGACCGTGCACTTCTCCCTGCATTACACCCCATCCTTGTGTCTGTTTCTTGTGAGGCCATCTCCATTCTGTGACCTTAGATTCCAATACTGTACAGCAGCCCCGACTTAAGTACTGTACTTCAACCTGATCCTAGCTCTGTTCCACCAGGAACTTAGGTATGTACTGAGTCCTGGGTACACCAGACAGACTTTTGTGATGGAGTTACCCCACTCACCAAAGTCACCATGTAGATCAGTGGTATCTTTCTGCCTTCAGGTTGTTGGCACGGAGTGAAGGATGAAGAGGCGTCTTCTGAACACAACATTTCTGTAGCAGTGTCACATGTTAATACATCCAAGGCAGATTCGCCCACACAGACAGCTCACTGTTGTGATATATGTGGCCCCATCTTGAAAGATATTTTGCACCTGGATGAACACCAGGGTACACACCATGGACTGAAACTTCACACATGCGAGGCATGTGAGAGACAATTCTGGGTCAGTGCAAACCTTCATCAGCACCCAAAGTGTTACAGTATAGAGAAACCATTAAGAAGGGATGAAGGTGAGGCCTCATTTTTGAAGAACTGCACAGTTAGCAAAGAACCTCACCCATCAGAAAAGCCCTTTGCCTGTAAGGAGGAGCAGAAAAACTTCCAGGCTAGTTTGGGTGCTTGCCAACAAAAGGCTACCCGAAGCAAAAGGAAGACACACAAGAGCACTGAGAATAAGGATGCATTTCATGGTGAACAAACGCATTACAAGTGCAGTGAATGTGGGAAGGCTTTCAGCCGCAAAGACACACTGGTCCAGCACCAGAGAATCCATAGTGGAGAGAAGCCTTATGAGTGCAGTGAATGTGGCAAATCCTTCAGCCGTAAAGCTACACTTGTCCAGCACCAGAGAATCCATACTGGAGAAAGACCTTACGAGTGCAGTGAATGTGGAAAAACCTTCAGTCGAAAAGACAACCTTACTCAGCACAAGAGAATCCACACTGGAGAAATGCCTTATAAGTGCAATGAATGTGGGAAATATTTTAGCCATCACTCCAATCTAATTGTACACCAGAGAGTTCACAATGGAGCAAGGCCTTATAAGTGTAGTGATTGTGGGAAAGTCTTTAGACACAAATCTACGCTTGTTCAGCATGAGAGTATTCACACTGGAGAAAATCCTTATGATTGCAGTGATTGTGGGAAATCCTTTGGCCACAAATACACCCTCATTAAACATCAGCGAATTCACACTGAGTCAAAGCCTTTTGAATGCATTGAATGTGGGAAATTCTTTAGTCGAAGTTCTGACTTTATTGCACACCAGAGGGTTCACACTGGTGAAAGGCCTTTTGTATGCAGTAAATGTGGGAAAGACTTTATCAGAACCTCCCACCTTGTTCGGCACCAAAGAGTTCACACTGGAGAAAGGCCATATGAGTGCAGTGAATGTGGGAAGGCCTACAGCTTAAGCTCCCACCTTAATCGGCACCAGAAAGTTCACACAGCAGGCAGGCTCTAGGAGTGCTTTGAATACAGCAGAACTCATCAGTCAGATGTTGACCTTCATATATCTAAACATTGACTCAAGGGAGATACCTTATGGTGCCAGGTATGTAGGAAGCTTCTAGGGATATGTTGCACTTTCTGACCTGCTCAGGTTTTTTGCCGTAATTAACGTCACTGTCAATGCCTGTGGCCAAAACCATCTTAACTCTACCAGCTTCGATACCGCAGCATTGGGTAAGGCAGGGTTTTATATTCTCTGGTCCCTGGAGAAAATCATGAAATGCCTGAGTTCATTGGGAGTCCTCACTCACTTCTGTGTGACAGGTAGAGATAGGGACGTGATCCATCTTTAGCCAAGAAGGTCTGAGCTGTATCTGCTCGTGGCCTATGCAAAAGGTTTACTTTCTTCATGGATAATCTTGGTCTCAGGTACTTGTAATGAATTTTTCCAGCCTCCAAGTCACCTGGCCTGGGAAAGTACTTGCCTCATGTTGCTCTGGTTTGTGATAATAAAGGCCTTACAGTTTAAGCCACCTTTAATGTTGGGGGTTCTTTTCACTGGATTGGATTGAGAACATGCCCTGCCAAACAGAAGACAGCCTTTGTGGAGGCCTCCAACTTTGTGTGCCTCAAATGGGACAGTGGGTTGAGGGAGAACAGTTCTTAGTCCAGTTTCGGACTGGACTAACTTAACTTCCATAGCTGACTAAGCTTGTTAAGTAAGGATTCAGATCTTTGTAGGCCTGATTTGTCTGGATTTTAGAGTTACTTGAGAGCCCATATGTCACCTAGAGGAGGGTGTCGCTGCTCTGACAGCCTGCAGTGTTTTGAAACAGCATGGATTGGGCGTCTTGTTTCCCCCATATGTCCCATGTTCCCCAACACTGTTGAGGTAAACCTGTTCCTCAGGACCTGCTGAGTGGCCATGTTTTCTGAAAACCAGAATCTGGTACACAGGCCACTTGGTAAGATCTAAAGCATGCAGTATGGAAACAGAATTGATAAATATTTGGTGTGAATGATTGGGACTGGGTGATTTGTGGCAAACTAGAGGAGAAGTGCCCATTATATGGCACAGTAGCTCATGCCTGCGATCCCAGTACTTTGGGAGGCCAAGGCGGGTGGATCACGAGGTCAGGAGTTTGAGAACAGCCTGGCCAAAATGGTGAAACCCCATCTCTACTAAAAAATACAAAACTCAGCTGGGCGTGGTAGTGTACACCTGTAGTCACAGCTACTTGAGAGGCTGAGGCAGGAAAATCGCTGGAACCGGGGAGGTGGAGGTTGCATTGAGCCGAGATCAGCCACTGTACTCCAGCCTGGAGGACAGGAGAGACTCCATCTCCCCCCACCAAAAAAAATCCAGACAGTCCAGGCACTTCGGCTGAATGGGATCAGGGTATCTAAAAATCTCAGGATCTCCAGGGCCATGTTGTCATGGCCAGGGTCACTGGTGCAGCAACAAATGTAGTTTTCCTAGATTCCTGTACTTCCTCGGGCTCTCTACCTAATGTCTTTGCTGCACATTCAGTAATGCTGGGAATAAAGTGTGGGGGTCCAAGGGGGTAGCTTTTGTGACCAGCTAGAGATTCTGGTGACTCTGTTGGCAGTGATCCTCATTGTTTGTCAGTTTTTCTCATTACTGAGGAAGAAATTGTCTTCCCAAGGCATTTGGAGTGATAAGAGTCACCGTAGTGAGGTAGAGTCACTCAGTGATGTCCGGTTGTCCAGTTTTCAATAAAACTGGGAGACCCAGATTTTTTTTTTTTTTTTTTTGAGACGGAGTTTCGCTCGTTACCCAGGCTGGAGTGCAGTGGCACGATCTCGGCTCACCGCAGCCTCCGCCTCCTGGGTTCAGGCAATTCTCCTGCCTCAGCCTCCTGAGTAGCTGGGATTACAGGCATGCGCCACCATGCCCAGCTAATTTTTTGTAGAAATGGGGTTTCACCATGTTGACCAGGATGGTCTTGATCTGTTGACCTTGTGATCCACCCGCCTCGGCCTCCCAGTTTTTTTTTTTTTTTGAGATGGAGTCTCGCTCTGTCACCAGGCTGGAGTGCAATGGCACCATCTCAGCTCACTGCAACCTCTGCCTCCCAGGTTCAAGTGATTCTACTGCCTCTGCCTCCCTAGTAGCTGGGACTTCAGGTACACACCACCATGCCCAGCTAATCTTTGTATTTTTTAGTAGAGATGGGGTTTCACCATGTTGGCCAGGATGGTCTCGATCTCTTGACCTCGTCATCCGCCTACGTCAGCCTCCCAAAGTGCTGGGATTACAGGCGTGAGCCACCACGCCCGGCCGGGAGACCCAGATTTTATAATGGAATAACTTTGTATAGGTTCATTCAGGTGTAATCAACATGCAGTATACTGCACCTATTTAAGGTGTACCAGTAAGTTGTAATGCACACACACACACACACACACACACACACACACACACTTGGAACTATCACACCGTATCAATGGTATTGGACGTACCTGTCACCCCTGAAGTTAGCCTCAAGCCCTTACTTAACCTTTCTCTCAGTGCTCTCCTTCCCTGCAAATCCCTAGGGGACCACTGAGTAGTTTTCACTATAGGTAAATTTGTCTTTCCTAGAATTTTGTGTAAGTCTATAAAGTTAATTTTATCTCCCGTCTTTGATGCAACATAATTTGAAATTTGCCCATGGTATGAATAGCCCATTTTAAAATTACTCATATTCAGTATGGATATACCACAGTTTATCCATTTATCTTAATTGCTGTCTGCACTGCAACCTCCATTTTTTTTTACAGCCTGTTAGACTGAGCAACCTCCATTTTTAATATTAAAATATTAAAAAGCTGCTACAAATAATTGATGCATGAGTATATGGACATTTAGCTGAGAACATTTTTAAGCAGAAGTTTTGAAAGTGTGCCATGTTTTTTACTGATACGTAGGGAAGAACTGCAAAAGAAAAGACCCAAGATTTGATGATTTAGGAAATGCTCAGCCCATGTTAATTGAAATTAAGAGATTTGTTGTCAGGAAAGAATGTTTTAGAGAGATAGCCAGGAGTGTTTGCTATTATCAAGATCAAAACATAAAAAGTAAGAACATTGTCACACAGAAAGCTCTTTGAAAAGATTAAATGTGGCCTGCAGATCTCCTCAGTACGAGCAGAGAGCTTGTAAGAAGTTTAAACTAGCAGTCATATCAGCAAAAGCCTAAAATAGATAGGGGATTCCCTAGGGAACATAATCTTCGTAAACCTCTTTTCTAATGGTGTGAATTTCAGTGACATACAGGAGACTCACAAAGTTCTTGAAAATTTTATACCAGTGAGAATGCTCACCTTGGGTCTAAAGGAACCTTGTCAGTGTGAAGTTAACGGGTGTAATATTCTATACATGGGACTGGCTGAGCAAACAGGTGCAAGCCCTTGCTGTCTTTCATGAGAAAGGATGGATGACTCAGAGCAGAGGAGAATCCGGTGGGCAGAGCCCTGAACCACCTGATATCTCATGTTTTGACTCCCAGTGGCATTTGCCAAACTATATTTCAAAATTTCTTGGGACTGGCAATCCCATTTTCTTGTTTTCCCACTTTCATTTCCTCCTGCTTTGAAGCAATGCCTATGTATATATAACTGTATCCTGGGTCTTTCCTACCCTTTCGTTTGGGAGCAGATAACTAGTTTTCTAGTTTTATGGATCTAAATGAGACAGGAATAGCACTGGGTGGTCACAGGAGGATTGAAAGTCTCAACCACCCCCCTGGTTTTGGTGCAGGTGAAAAAAAGTAAAAAAAAAGAAAAACCCAAACAACAGCTAAAACGGAAACTAGGTGAAGAAAACACAGGGTAACAGAAAACCAAAAATAAAATATAAAACAGCCAGAACCCCAGTCAGGGTGATGTGTCCATGACTTCAGGGCAAACCCAAATAAGGGAAGGGGGTGGTAATTGGTGGTCCTTGAAATCCCCTCCCTTTTCAGAATACTGAATGATTATCCCTCGATTAAAGGAACACCCATACAATTAGAAATCCAAACTCCGTTGTGCATGACTCGCTCTCGGGGCCTGCCCTCACTTCTGTGTGTGTACTTCTGCTTTGCAATAAAAAGCTGCTTGCCTTTGCTTCATTCTGACTCATCACTGAATCCTTTCAATGTTGTTAAAAACCTGGATCTCACAGACAATGTCCAGAGACCCTCCTGAACCCCCCAGCAACACAGGGAGGAATTGTGCCCCAAGATGGATTATACCCAGATCCTTATCAATATTGGACTTAGACAATTTAGATGAGAATGGGGACTTTTGAGCTAATTAGGTTTTGATTTGGATTTTGAGCGGATGGTATAATAGGATGAGACCTTTTGGGAAGCTGAGATGGGATCAATATATTTTGCATTCAGAACACATGTGAATCTTGAGGGTCCAGAGGGAAAAGTTGTAGGAAGAATAATGCTTCTGAAAGATGTCTATGCCCTAATCCCTACTTGTAGATATGTTACTTTACATAGCCAGTGGGACTTTGCAGATGCGATGAGTGTTGCAAGACGCCTCAGATGGGCGTAATCTAATCAGAGGGTCCTCAACAGCAGACGACCTTTCCCAGCTGCAAGGAGAAAGCTGCAAGGACAAAGGAGTCAGAGAGATGGAAGGGGGAATGCAGCCTATTCAGAACTGGAGAGGAGCTAAGGGAAGCACACATCTCACAGCAAGGAAACACCTCAGGCCCACAGCCACATGGAACTTAATTCTGTCAACAAGCCAGATGAGAGGGCTCCGATGCCATAGAGCCCCCTGAAAGTAACAACTTGCCAGCATTGGGAATAGCTGGGGCCACGGGGACTTTGTAGGTTTAAAGGCGCTGGGGCTGGCCAGACCTGGCTGCCTCTGCAAGGCTTGGGTACCAAGGGGGTGGGCACCCAGTTGGTGAGTCTGAAGGGAGCTCTGGAGCCACCAGCCCACCTCCATGGGCTTTCTGGCCTCCAGGCACCAGGTCCTGTTTCCCTGACCCCTGTGGCCCCCAAACAGCCCAGCTTCTGGCATATCTATCCATGGGTGTAGCTGGCATCTGCTGAGCGTTCCCTCCACAGCTGATGGGTTTTCAGGGGCTTCATCCAATTCCTGGGCTGCCACTGCACCTCACCCAGCCTCCAGCCCCAACCTATGCATTTGTGGGCATAGTGGCCACAGCAGAGTCCCAGGGCTCCTCCGCCCTGCATGCCTCCGTGCACTCCAGGCTGCACCGCACCTCGGGCTCAATGTGGTTTTGATTTGCATTTCTCTAATGACCAGTGATGATGAACATTTTTTCATATGTTTGTTAGCTGCATAAATGTCTTCTTTTGAGAAGTGTCCATATACTTTGTCCACTTTTTAATGAAGTTGTTTTTTCTTGTAAATTTGTTTAAGTTCTTTGTAGATTCTGGATATTAGCCCTTTGTCAGATGTGTAGATTGCAAATTTTTTTTCCCATTCTGTTGGTTGCTGGTTGACTGTAATGATTGTGTCTTTTGCTGTGCAGAAGCTCGTAAGTTGCATTAGATCCCATTTACCTATTTTGGTTTTTGTTGCCATTGCTTTTAGTGTTTTAGTCATGAAGTCCTTGCCTATGCCTATGTCCTGAATGGTATTGCCTATGTTTTCTTCTAGAGTTTTTATGGAGTTAGGTCTTATGTTTAAATCTTTAATCCATCTGGAGTTAATTTTTTTTCTTTTTTTTTTGAGACGGAGTTTCACTCTTGTTACCCAGGCTGGAGTGCGATGGCGCGATCTTGGCTCACCACGACCTCCGCCTCCTGGGTTCAGGCAATTCTCCTGCCTCAGCCTCCTGAGTAGCTGGGACTACAGGCACGCGCCACCATGCCCAGCTAATTTTTTTTTTTTTTGTATTTTTAGTAGACGGGGTTTCACCATGTTGACCAGGATGGTCTCGATCCCTTGACCTCATGATCCACCAGCCTTGGCCTCCCAAAGTGCTGGGATTACAGGCTTGAGCCACCGCACCTGGCCTAATTTTTGTATTTTTAGTAGAGACAGGGCTTCATCATGTTGGTCAGGATGGTCTCGATATCCTGACCTCGTTATTAGTCTACCTCAGCCTCACAAAGTGCTGGGATTACAGGTGCGAGCCACGATGCCTGGCCAACCAATTTTTTTTACTTTTAAATTTGACACCTATATATTTTCAGTGAATTGCCTATTTCACCTGTCTTATACATTACGAGTATTGGTTCATTTTCTTTTTTTTTTTTTTTCTTTTCTTTTCTTTTTTTTTTTGAGACGGAGTCTCGCTGTTGTTACCCAGACTGTAGTGCAATGGCACGATCTCGGTTCGCCGCAACCTCTACATTCTGGGTTCAAGCAATTCTCCTGCCTCAGCCTCCCGAGTAGCTGGGACTACAGGTGTGCACCACCATGCCCAGCTAGTTTTTGTATATTTAGTAGAGAAGGGGTTTCACCTTGTTGACCAGGATGGTCTTGATCCCTTGACCTCGTGATCCACCCGCCTCGGCCTCCCAAAGTGCTGGGATTACAGGCGTGAGCCACCGCGCCCAGGCTGGTTCATTTTCTTTCAGTAAAAATAGACAGTGGAACAACAAACACATGTTGGAATTTTTTTCATTCAGTAACATGAGTGACATTTTTGCTTTTGCGTACTAAACACTTTCTAATTTGTTTTATCTTGTTGTACAACATAACGGCTTCCTATAGTATATACTTTTATTTTTCATCAGCATATAGTAACATTCTTCATCACTTTTCTAGGTGTAAAATTTTAATAATAGCAGACGTGCAGCCCTAGTGTACAGTGTTTGCCGTTCCCTTGATACTAGGAATCTCACCACGGCCAGTTTCAAATTGCCAATATTTTGTCCCTGAACATGGAGATGTGCAGAGTTGTCAGTAGCACATCCTATTTGTTCCATATTGATGTGCTGGCAAGCACATAGGTAACACATAGTAAAGTACTTGAGTGACAAGGTTCGAATATAACTTAAACAGCTTAATTGGTTCAATCAGTTATATAAGCTAACCTAACTCCTAATTAAAATGTGCGTGTTCTTGTTTGGGTACATCAAGTTTTATCCTGCTGTTGCAAATTTTTCTTACACATAAAATTACTGATACAAGGGCATACTTCATCTTTCCTAGTGGCTGTTTTCAAATGTACACAAAAGTGGTAAATGCTCTTAGGAAGCTCCATGGTTTCCCCCTCAGTCTCCTGTTACAATTTATGATCATTCTTGTTGCATGCGTTCTTATGCACATTAATGGGTTATTTTACTGTTAAAGCCAGAGATGCGATTTAATACATAGTTTCTTTACAATAATTTTCTGAAGTACATGGGATTTTCATATGGCTGATTAATATTTTACAAAATATAAAAATATTTTAAAATATGCTGTCAGTGCTAAATATTACTACATTTTTAAAAGATGTTTTAATGATAAGTGTAAGCAAAAACTCCAGGCCAATGTCCCTGATGAACATACATGCAAAATTCTCAAAAAAATGGGTTCAGGAAATGACTAACACAAGATCCATCAGAAAACAATGAATTTCATAGATGCAATGACCTGGCCAAAGATAAGTATGGTTTTGTTTGGAACATTAGTGGTTATTTAGTGTCCTATTTTCCAGATATAAGTAAGTCCTTTTCATTCTCTCAAGTCTCTTAAATTATCTACACTCATGACATTTGGTAGATTATTCTTTTGTAAACAGAAAGAAAACATTTATTTTTCCTTCTTGCCTGATCCCTCCAAAATTTGGAATTCCTATTGAATATATATTTTTTGAGCAGGTGTCTTGCTCTGTCATCCAGGCTGGAGTGCACTGGTGTAATCTTGGCTCACTGCAACCTCTGCTTCCGGGTTCAGCCAATTCTCCTCCCGCAGCCTCCCGGGTAGCTGGGATTACATGCACATGCCACCACACACAGCTAATTTTTACATTTTTAGTAGACACAGGTTTCACCATGTTGGCCAGGCTGGTCTAGAACTCCTGACCTCAGGTGATCCGCCCGCCTTGGCCTCCAAAGTACAGGTGTGAGCCACCATAGCTGGCCTGAATATTCTTTTTTTCACAGCAGTGTGAACATTTAAGTTAAAAAAGAATCTGTTCTCCTTGTAACAGGACATAATTGGAAACAAGACTTTGACTAGAATGTCATATTTGAAAATGATGACCAGTTTTAATGAACTAAGGTTGAGTTTATAGAGCCAATACTTACAAATGTCTCTTGGAAAACTGGCCTGGTACCTTGCCCATAGGGTAACCATTCTTACATGTAAGTTAGGAAGGGGATTTTCGGGGAGTTGGGGAAGAAAAACAAAAAGGAAGGGGATTTTCTGGCAGGCCTGGTGATATGCTTTAGCTCTGTGCTCCCACCCAAATCTCACCTTGAATTATAATAATCCCCACATGTCAAGGGTGGGACCAGGCGGAGATAATTGAATCATGAAGGCAGTTTCCCCCATACTGTTCTAATGGTGAGTTCTCACAAGATATGATGGTTTTATAAGGGTCTTCCCTCTTTGCTCAGCAGTGATTCTCCTGCTGCCCTGTGAAGAGGTGCCTTTTGCTGTGATTGTAAGTTTCCTGAGGCCTCTCCGGTTGTTGGAACTGTGAGTCAATTTAGCCTCTTTTCATTATAAATCACCCAGTCCTGGGTATTTTCTTTTTTTTAATTTTTTTTTCTTTTTTATAAAGACGGCGTTTCACCATGTTGGTCAGGCTGGTCTTGAACTCCCGACCTCATGCGATCCGCCTGCCTTGGCCTCCAAAGTGCTTGGATTACAGGCGTGAGCCACCATGCCCAGCCCTGGGTATTTCCTTATAGCAATGTGTGAATTAACTAATACAGTCAAGAAACTTAGAATATTTGGAGGATCGTGCCGGGCGAGGTGGCTCACGCCTGTGATCCCAGCACTTTGGGAGGCCGAGGCGGGTGGGTCACAAGGTCAAGAGATCGAGACCATCCTGGTCAACAAGGTGAAACCCCGTCTCTACTAAAACAAAAAATTAGCTGGGCATGGTGGCACGTGCCTGTAATCCCAGCTACTCGGGAGGCTGAGGCAGGAGAATTGCCTGAACCCAGGAGGCGGAGGTTGCGGTGAGCCGAGATCG